AACGCCTAGATATTTGGCCGATTTTTCCCAAGGGATTGGGCGGTCGTATAAAGAGATTGTTTTGGGTTTAGAACCTCCTGTAGAATTCCGTTGAAAGTATACTGCTACACTTTTTTCGGGATTCACGTTTAATTCTTTTTAATTCTCCATAGGCGGAACCATTCACCAAGGCGATTGGTCGCTTTTTGGAGCTTTATAGAGAGTCTATTTTTGTTGGGGTCTGACACAAAGAGTGCCGTATCGTCGGCAAAGAGAGTGGTGTTCACTACGGGGTCTTTTGGGATATCACTCGTGAAGAGTGTGAAAAGGAGTGGAGATAGCACGGAGCCCTGTGGGACCACGGCCTTGAGGAATCATTTCGAAGAACGTGTTCCCTCCACTCGATATCGAAAAGTGCGGTTCGAAAGGATAGCTCGTATGATATGCACGAGCCTATCGGGCACGTTTCGAGCCTTTTTCCTTAACGGGTTTTGGTTGAAGCCAGACAGAATATATTCTGTTAGGCGATGAATCTGGTGAGTGCATGAGTGATTGGCTCTAAAGCCGAACTGTTCGTCTGGGAGGAGTCCGTTAGCTTCGGTGAAATGACGGAGACGCTTATGAATAATGCGCTCGTATAGTCTGCCCAATGTGTTGAGCAGGCTAATGGGTGTGTAGCTAGAGGGACGATTACGCGGTTTACCCGGTTTTGGGATCCCTATTACGTCTGCTTCTTTCCAGATGTCCGGGAAGGAGCAGTTCGTGAGAAAGATGTTAAATATTCCAACAAGGAGGCAAATAAGTGGCACCGAAAGGGATTTGATCACCTTGTTGCTGATGCCGTCTGGCCCAGGGGCTGATCTATTTTTAAGACTTTTTATGGTTTCGGTGACTTCATCTACTGTCACAGGATCGAGTGATTCACCCGCCGTAGTGCTATCCTACAGACCGACGCTTCTAAGTTAGTAAGCGGCGGAGTATCTATCGGTACACATTGCAAGGACCTTTTGTAGTAGATCAAGGTGCCGCCTTTAGGTCCGGTCAGCCTATCATTTCTTACTAGGGTATAATTGGCTATTTTGGGATCGCTCAAACTAGGTTTCAAGAAGGTCTCTTGCACTAGCATGACGTCGATATCATGGTTGCGTAAAAAAAATATGATCTCTTCCTTTTGATCTCTGACACCATTTGCATTAAAGTACGCGACAGTCAGAGACCTAGGCTTAGTTCTACCTACAGGTCTTATTTCCATTTTAGTTATAAAAGAAAAGAGTCGCTTAGGCGCATTGGAACGAACCTATCGCTTGGATAAGACTAAGATGCTCAATGGTAGCATTGAGCCTATCTTGAATTGATTTAGCTTCGCGAAGTTTGCGGGCTAGGTTGTGAGTTCGGCCACATTAATGCTGCTGGCGAAGTTGAACACTAACGAAAGGTCAGTGTCGATGTTTGACGGTGCCTGAGGGGCGGGTTTGGGCTTCTGGGCCTGGCGAGGAGGCACTGGCCGTGAGGCGGCCGCGCTGACTATCGCCGGGGGCTTAACCCATGCGTTGAGCTTAGGTGCTGAAGGCACCGGAAGCCTTGGGCCTTGCCCGGAAGTCCTTTTAACGGGGGCGGGCTTGGCTGTAGCCTGAGCGGGTGCGGGTTGCGGCACCGAGATTGGTGCAATCGATGGGGCAGAATGCCGTGGGCGCGACCTACTGGGGTTGCCCGCACGTCCGCGCCGGATTGCTCCTCCATTCTGCTTCCTACGCGGCGCTTTGGAACATCCGCGATAGCTCGCTGGGTGTCCCTATTCGCCGCACAGAACACAACTCGGAGGGCCCTCCGTCTCGGGCGTTCGGGGGCACTCGGTAGTGCCATGATCGCCTAGGTACTTGACGCACCTAGGCCAGGCGAAACAATTCCTGGCCGAGTGGCCGTATAATTGGCATCGGTGGCATTGGCCAACGATGCCCCTATTACGCGGGGACTCTACAACAATCTCCGTGAGATTGCATATCCTAGTGATGTTGTATATTTCTTTGCCCTCTGGAGACAGGTCCAGTATTACTAGACAAAGATCGAGATAACGTTTCTTATCGGTTGGGTGGTGCATCCTGTGCACTTCTCTGACTGGCAGGTTTTGCGATTTAAGATCGCTTAGTATGAACTCGGTTTCTAGCTTCTTAGGGAGTCCGCGAACTACAACACGGAGGTTACGGTCTTCTGCGAGAGAGTAAGTATGGAAGCTCAGATTCTAAGCTTTAAGGTGCGCAGTTAAAGCGCGGAAATCGTCCGTCGTTGCGACGTGGATACGGATGCCCTGTGGTCCATTGTGGACTTTGGGGCAGAATATCTTTTTGAATGAATATGAATGAATATACTTTATTGCACACCACAAACAAATTTACAAAGAACATAACAGAGAGCAGATTATATTACATAGCGATCTCTTCCAGGCAACCAAATGTGTAAAGGAATAAAACAGTGAGTACTAGGTAGGTGGTGCAATATAAATATACCTAATATAATATCAATACATGCAATAAAATAACATATAAGTAAATAACTAATACATTAAAAAAATATGATACACATATACATAGGTATATACATAAACATACACACACATATATATATACATATACATACATATACATACATACATACATATACACACATACACATATATACATACATATATCCTCAAATATATACCACTAACAATAACATAAACAAATAAATACAAAACTACATAATCACATAATTTATCCTAATGATTTTCGAACGATTGAGACAAGTAATGCTCTTTAAGAAGTCAATAAAATAATACAAAAAAAAAGAATATCTTTTTGGAGTCTATCCACTTGGAAAGGTTGCTCCAGCGCGATTTGTCCTGAAGGATAATTGGGGGCGGCGGCTTCTCCTTTTTAGGTACGGCCTGAGTCGGGTTCGCGGTTTTGGTCGCGGTCGTTTTGCGCGCGGAAGGCGCGGCTTTTTTTGCCGAAGTGGCGGTAGGCGGCGTAGGGGCCGAGTGAGGCTCGTCTCCCTTTTTCGCGGCGGGGCACTTGCGCTTTTTACCCGAGACTAAGGTGAAGCCTTCGTCATCGGGTTTATCGGGTCGGTGATTTTCTATATCCATCTCGGAGCCTGATTCGGCGTCCGAAAACAACGGAGATGGACCGCGGGTGGAGAGCGCAGGAGGCGCGGGGGATGCGGCGTCGTAGACTGTGTCGATGGACACAGGGGTCGAGCGGACGGTGCTCGGCGACATAGGACCGTCGATCCGTACTACGGGGCGTTCAGCGGTGGACGAGTTACGTTGGGCTAGAAAAGCAGCCCAAGCATCGGGGCACACTTGGACGAAGAAGTCGGCGAGTTCGGGTATAGTAATAGCCGCCATCTTGTCAGTGGTTTAGAACACTTGTGTATCAATCCCCCCCACTTTCGGCGGGGGAGGTGTGTGCCTAAATGAACACTTATACAACTAGCGCGTTGGTACGCTAGGGTGTGTACCTAGCTGTCGCCTAATGCGACAAGCGAACACAGAAATTAAACAATAGAATTGCTGCCTCTGAGGCAGCGGGTGTGCAATAAACTACTTACTGTTTTTACTGGAAATCCGGAGAACGTGGGGCACTAAAACTAGCACTACACACAACAGAACAATGGGCCGGTGGCCCGATGTACCTGGCAGCCGTAAAGGAGCACAACGACACTGAAGCACTCGCGCGCGCAGGTAAAAATGTCTTTGTCTTTTTTCTGATCGGAATGGACCACTCACCACTCAGACTGACTCACTCACTCCAGTGAGCGGCGAGTTTTTTTTTTGCGCCCGAAGCAAATATAGGCAACCCTCCGGAAAGCGGGGGAGGGAGGTTGGGAATGCTCATAGCATACCACGCAGCCGGCTGCGTGGTTATGTGGTGACTTTTACCCACTAAACCCAACCTTTTAGGAACTGGCTTAACGATCTGACTAGAGATCTCTAAGCCGTATACGAACGCGACCCTCCTTGGCACAAAGGAGGGCGCAAAAATTCCTGAGAATTTTGTCTCAGTTGCCCTTGTAAGGAAAGTAGGAGATCTCCCGCCAGGTAAGGTGTTCTGCCCGGGGAGCGGCCGACACTCCTGAGCGGCGAGCCGAAACAGCTGCTATTTATACACGCCGACACAATCGCTCCCCACCAAAGTAGCGAGTGACCGCGCCGTGCGATAACAAACCTGTTACTAATTATCATTATTGTTATGATTAATATTTTTAAATACTATTATTATTATTGTTTTATTGATATTATTATAGTTATTTATTTATTATTATTAATACATGCACGTCTAGACGTGCATGTATGAAGAAGTTAATGAACCTGAAAGAAAGAGTTATGTAAGGATCGTGATACTTGGCGATCTGTTCTCTCTGGCTACCCCGTTAGGGATTGTGCGTGAAGATAAGTAAAGTTATTATTAATCTTAAAATTATTATTAAAGATTAGCCTTAAAGATGTTTAACAAAGGTGAATTAGAAACATTTGTTTGTTCATTCAGCAGTGCATAATTACCATTATTACTTTTTAAAATCTCCAACTGCTCCAGCACACACAGGCGCAGCCCCTTATTACAAGTATGTAAGACTTCAAAGGAATGGTTGCTAGCTAGCTTGTGTCCAGTGTCCAAGAGCTGTTTAGCAAAATGGGATTTATTAGGATTGCAATTTCTGTACCCGGCCAAATGCTCTTTATAGCGCGTCCCGAAATTGCGCCCAGTCTGACCCACGTAGCGGAAGGTTGCAAAGAAATTTATATTTTTATTTTTTATTAAATATATCTTTTTATAGAAGAGGAAGGAAATTTATGTACGATAATAAGTGAGCATCGCATGTGAAATTTTTTTGGTCTTAGATAACAAAACACTTAAAAGTATTTATTTTGTATATTTAGTTATATGTTTGAACATTTTCATTTTTCGTCTGCCTTGATTTTTGTCTCTTGAACGCACAAAAATATGGGTATGATTCACCTTTTATATTTAAGAATTTTTTTTTCACAGCTTTTTTTTCTTCATCATCGAGGTATCTTGAAACAGTGTCTTCAATCGGTTAAAGGGTACTTCAACCATTAAAGATAGCGGTATTGCTGCCAGGTACGATAAAAATACAATACCCAGATGGTTTATGACCTAGAAAAAAGAACGACATATTAAATATGTATAAATGGTAAAATTATTTTTTTAATAATATTCTTTCACCCTTATCAGCTTTTATATATTATCTTGAATATATTATCTTACAAAGATGTTTTTATTTGAATTTTGGTTACAAAAGAACAAACAGCTTACCACAAGGTGGACTGGGTGTTTATACCAACTTAAAACAAAAAATCTACAGATATCTTATCATCTCTGAGGACCAAGATGGGATGCGTCACAATCTGCAACTATACGCTCTCTCAATACCCTTCAGACCAGACAGTGTACGGCACTATTGCTAGGCAGCTTGCTGCTAAGTACTGACCCAGGCGGACTTCTAAGCGGGAAACCTCAGTCCTACCTCTAGAATGCGCTATATGACAATTATCTTGGAAGAAATTTTCATACCTCCACGTAGTTAGCAGTAGTTTTACAAGTAGTTGTCATTTATTTTAAACTTGTTAATAGAGAGACCTTCTATATTTTCTGAGACTTTTTTAAAAAGCCTTGCCCCACGAATGAATTACCGACTCTATGAGTAACTGGTATCACTAGAATGTGTTTGTTCCTAATGTTTATAAAATGTGTATTACTTTCTTTATTAAAACTACTTTTGTTTTTTTGAAAATACTAATAAATTGAATTTTCGCAAAGAGAGGCCATAGTTATATTATGGTTGCAGCATGAAAGGTTCTGCTCGATTTGGGAAGGATAACGTTTTCACTAAATACAAATAAAGCTGCAGTATTTTATGTGATGAGCGTAGAGAACCGCAGACCTTTTTTTCTAATAAAGAGGCATTTTAATTTAGTCCTCGGGGCTGACTGACAACGCATCTTTATTTTGATTCTTAATCAAGGATTAATGTGGGAAGGTGAAAGTAGAATGTCTCACAGCCTTAACTATACTGGCGGCTCTGTTTATCTCCAGACCAGAGCATGGCAGTGCTATTGGGTGGTGGAAATAGGTAAGAATGTGGCACCTACCCGGACGGACTCCTAGATTGAAAAGCAGTCCTAGCATCTAGAGATTACATCTCATCACACAGCATACGAAATACAGAATTATTGGGTGCGTTTGGCAGAAAAAAGCGCTAGCAAGCGCTTGTAAGCAAAATGGCGATCGTAAGCGGTAAGTGCTGTCAAATCGTAAGTAGCTATTTTCCTCTAGGACACGATGTTAGTTTTAACCGGGGAACCTAACCTAATTTAAATATATGTTTGTAAAGTATTCATATTAAAAACTTACCAATCATGAATTTTTAATAACATTTATATGTTTATTCATGTCATTATATTACTTAAAACTAATATTGCTCAAAACAACTTTTAAACTCTACTTCAAAACAAACAAATTAAATAAGCAAAATGGCGGATTATGTCAGCGCTACTGAAGTAGCAATCGTGTCCTGGCCGAAAACTATTTTAGCGCTTGTAAGCGCTTGCTAGCGCTTTTTTCTGCCAAACGCACCCATTATGTTGCTATTTTACGCTAGTGTTACATGACAGTGTGGTCCCTTCTTAGTCGAACCGAAGCTTTTCTTACTGTTTTGATCCGTAGCGGCGTAAGCCTACCACATATAGTGTGATGAATTAAAATTTAGAAAGTGTATTTAATCTTACCACGTAAAAGAAAGAAACGTGACCCAATTGTGTTCTGGCTCCGAGTAGAATATGAACTATATTCAAGTGCAACAGATAGGCGCAGTAGGACAATTTGCTCGGCACCACCCAACCGTCCCATTCAAGTAGACGAAGCTGCACATCTAACATTATAATCGGAAAATTATTATTACAACACACAAATTAAGGCATATTTCAGAAATAAATTGTATACTGTGGAATGTTCTCCTTTTATGTGATAAATTGTTGTTAAATTTTTATTAAGTTATTGATAATTCATGTCCGCCATATCTGTTAAATGCTGTCATATATTCGTAGACACGTAGTTCCACAAAAGGCAGTAATAAAAAGTGATTAGTAAGTCCCGCCAAAAAGTTTCATACGGGTGCCCGCTGTGGCGCTAGTAGTATACATTCATAGACACGTGTAACATTTTTTTAGTTTAGAGTTGATTAATTAATTAATTATATAAAATTAGATAGATAGATAGATAACTCTTTATTGCATTTTAACAAAGTTATTACAATAACGGTAAACTTATGACTACAAACGGTAGTCATATCGCTTTAAGCGATTTCTGTCTGACAAACCGAACATAAAAGACATTATAATTTTATATTTTGACACATAGCAACGTGCAATATGAAATAAACAGAAAAAAATTATTAAAAATAATAATTATAAAAATATATTAATAATATATACATTATTTAATGATTATAAATATATTATATTTATATACATAGCATATATACATATATATGTACAATAATTTTAATTTAATTTTATTTATTTTAATTAGTTATTTCTTCTCTCGGTAGAGAGTAATAGTGTTTTGTGATAATAACTTAAATATGCGTAGTTCATGCCGCACAATAATGACAAATGTTATATTTTTTTATTTCTCTTTAAAAACTCTAAACTCCACTCTAGGATTTTCTCCTGTACGAGCAGTTTACATACATAAATTTTACAAGCACAACCTAGAACAGATCCGGAACAATTATTTGTAGGATTGCTAAGCCACTATATCTCGGAGCCGTCAAGATATAATATCGATTGAGATAAACTTAATAAAATCCAACTACTGGTGTAGAAGTTATGGGAAGACACAGAAATGAACGTACATCCATTAATATACTACTACCAGCAGAAATATTATCCTCCTTGTAGAACTACCATACTCAGTTAAGTTTGTTTTATGTAATGCAACTAGTATAGTTTATTAAAGAAAGTTAACTAAGGGGATGCATTAAATTCTTTTGAAGTGACAACATTACTGGAAAGAACTGAAATACTAAGAAGGCTGAAATAATACACAAGAAAACCATGAAACAATCCTCACTTTTTTATATTACTTATAACAAATGTGCACATTTGAATTTTCTCACTTATTGTCAAATGAAACTTATTGTTTAGAATATGCATTATGCCTAATCTGTTGTTGATATACTCTGCATTTGCTACGTTTTGCATAAAATCATAAAAAACGGATAAAAAAAATCAAATAAATAAACTAATTCGCAAGAACATAAACAATCTTTTAAAACCATTCCAGCAACATCAGTACTATAAATGAACACATTTATTTTGTCATTAATATAAAAGAGTAGTTTGTAATTGTTTCTTATTTTTGTGAGGTGTTGATATAGTTTTCTCGTTTGGTCGGGCTGCATAAATAAATAAAAGAAAATAATAAATATAAATTAAATATAGTAATATAAATAAATAAATAATAGATTAATAAATAAAAACTGAAACAAATGGAAACCCTCAGCAGGGGAAACCAAACGGCTAGTGTTGCCCAAATGCAAGAACAAGACGAGACTTAGCCAGTCTTGGTCTTGGTCTTGGTCTTGCAGCAAGAGTCTCGCAAGTCTCGCAATTACCTATTAGCCTATTGTTATTTATTAAACGTTACTTTAGATCTTAGAACAACTTAACAGAGTAGGCACATTTTGAGCTTGAATTAACATACCCATAGAAAGACCAACCAAATTAATAAATGTCTAAACATTTAATGAGAAATTAGAAAAATCAACTAATACCGGGTGGGGTTTGAACCCTCGACCTAAGCTATCCGTGCGGATGCTCTAACCAACAGAGCTGTCTACCAAGTCTCACGGCCACGGGAGTTAGTCTGTTTCTTAATAAACGTTTACATTTAACTACTTACATGTGCTAAAACTTAGTCAAAACATATAAAAAACAAATTAATGACATTAACTTGACTGTATTATAAAGAACAATATCTGTCTAGAAAGAGATTGATAGACCCTTATATGAAATGGAATAAAAGAGCTATACAATTTACCATTCATTTAAATAAAAAAAAATACAATATAAATTAAATTACATAACAGTACACAACAGCTTTGACATTAGTGTTACTTATATACTTTGTGTAACCGGAAAGTAGGTATTGTAATTTTATTTTTATTTTTACTATTAAAAGAGTGCAAATCACTATTATTTACATCATTTCGATGCAATCAATTTCTTTAAACGGTTCTCTAAGAGATACTCGGGCTCCTAAAAAGTACATAGATCTTATTTTACGCTTTTTATTTAATATGCACACTTTTTATATTATTCGATTAGCATTGTACAAAATGTTTACACGTTTTAAGTGTGTTAAAAGTGTTTACAATATTTATCAAATGGGTGACGACATATCTAACACTTTGTGTTCAAAAACACACACTTCTAAAAATCGAGATTTGCAGTGAACTTATTGAACATGTTTATCTATTTAGTAATAATAATAATAGTAAGTAATTATTATAAACACATATAGTTAATATTATAATAATTACTTACAATTTACAATTATTTTATTATGGTATCTACCTATCCTTACCATTATCTAATTACAACATTCCTTGCGAGATCAGCATAATGTATTCGTGTCCATTCTGAGCACCCGGAAACTTATTTTATTCTTTGGAACATGTATTCTGTGCTACAGTGTCAAATGTAGTGCGTGCGGCGCGGCGGCGACGATTGAATGCGATATCAATAGAAGCCGCCGGCGCGTGTATCTTGACCTTGTACTTCCAAATAGCTGCAAAATTTCTTTGACAGGTCAGTATTCGACCTTTGATGATGCCGACAACAAGACGCCGCGCGCTATCAAAGTGCCGATGGTCAAAACTAGGGATGCACTGTTTTTTCTTTTAATGGATATTTTCATCCACTATGTATGTTTATGGTATTGTTCGTAATGCGCATAGGTCCAATTTTCCAAATTTTTTTTGTATATTTTTTGCGTCTCATAGAGTCCCTAAGCCCGAACTCCTATACTCCCTGAAACGACACTCATTTCTAACTGCAAGACGCAAGAGTCTCGCAGGCTTAGTCTTGTTCTTGCTCAAATCTTGCACGGTCAGTCTTGGTCTTGGTCTTGCTAAAATTTGGCAGTCTTGTTCTTGGTCTTGGTCTTGCAAAAATGCAAGAACAAGACTAAGACTGCAAGACCAAGACCGATTTTGGGCAACACTACAAACGGCCAATAAGATGAAAGAGAAAGAAACCGGTGGGCGAAGCGGGCGGTATCGAGGTGCACCACTTTTTGCTTTTGAGCCAGACGTGGTCCGTCACGGACTCACAGTCACCTCAGATGACCCGCGAGGCTGACCAAAATTAACCCGTTCGCAGAGACGACTACAGGAATAATTTCGGTCACCTCGTGAGCCAGGTCCATATATTGTGTTATTTTTATTGTTGATATTATCTTATTTTTATTTTTAGTAGTTTTTCAGTATTGTTTTGTACTGGTCTATATTTAAATGGCTCCGTCCGAGCCGTGGTAGCTCAGATGGTTAGCGCTCGCTGTAGTACGCTGTAGTACGCAAGCAAACCGGGTTCGATCCCCGCCGGCACCAATGAAATTGTTAATTGCAATTTTAAGTGCTGATTTACCACGTGCTTGGCGGTGAAGGAAAATATCGTGAGGAAACCTGCATGTCAGAGAAATAAGGAAAAAAATATTTCGAAGACATGTGAAGTTCGCCAACACGCACTGGGGCAGCGCGGCGGACAATTCCTTGACCTAAAACCCTCTCAGAAATGAGCGGAGGCCTGTGCCCAGCTGTGGGACGTATATAGGCTGTAACTTTACTTTAACTTTACTTTACTATATTTCAATGGCTCTGTAGGCATTTTTATGAGAGGGAGAAAAAAGCACGCAGCACGCGGTGACTACGGCCGCCCATAAAAAACTGTAAGACCAGGGAAATTGGTGCACTACAGACTTTTAAAAAGAAGAAATTTCTTTTTTGAAGGCCATCCTAAGTATCTGATTCCACAAAGTAGTCGCATGAGAAAGAAAACTGCTGGTATATTGCATAGTTGTGGACTGTCAAGCATTTGGACGGAACAGATGGAATCGCCAATTTTTTCATGATAGTTGGCAGCGATAGAAAATGCTAAGGGATGCATAAACATGCCACATCTTTCTAAAGCGCCGATCAGAAAGAACTTGGTCGTCGATGATTCGGGAAACCCTTCGCTGGATGCAGTGATGCAAAGCTGGCACTAGGATGCCCGGCGCAGAGATGAGAATAGTATTCTATGTGAGGGCAAACTTGTACCTGAATTTTACCCAGATGTCGACCCAGATGCGGCCGGGCGAAGCCCTTGATAACTTCTTGCCTGTCCGATAATCGCTTATTTTTCTGTGATGCCACCACACAGTGATATTTCCTTGTGCGATCAAAATTTATTATGAAAATATTGGAAACAGGTTAAAGATATTTATTTATCACATAAGAAAAATATACACTTCGCTTTACAGCGATAATAGTAAATACTTAACAAGTAAAAAACCTAAGTAAAAAAACTTTTGTCTAAAGTACTTACTTTCAATTCTTAACACTAAACCAAGAATAATGAAGGCTATGATAACACCTAAAATCGGTCGATGTATCGCTGCATATGCCATTCTAATCACGAGCGATAGCCGTGTCTCTGTATAGAATATACTGCCTGTCAAAATGAGTCCCGCTATGCCAGGGATCACACACCAAGCGAGATATTGCCAGATCTGGAAGACGAAAATGATTGAATTAAAAATAAATATATAAAGTAAGGTATTGATAGAAACGATAATATAACACATTAAAGCTTATTATTAGGGAGCTTCAAAATGGTCCTAAGCCAATAGTTGTGAAATTAAAGCGACAGGAATGAGAATAAAGTACCTTATGCTTAAAAACTTCAACTCGATTCTTCTGGCAATAATACGCAAAGTAGCCGGTGACCATTCCAATGATAAAGCATGAAAGATTATTGTGACCCAAGATGTGAAGGTACCAGTACGTGTCATTCGAGAAGCTTCGATAAAACCTGTGAAAATTATTGTACGAAACAAATTTAAAAACCAGTGAACAAGATGGTATTCACAATATGTTAAGTTAATAATTATAAACCACTATCCGGCTATAAAATCCAATGTAGGCTGGAGGTAGACCCTATTCGTAAGAAGTTTTGGGCAAAATCATTTGGTAAGCATAATGATTCACAATAATATGTAAGTGTAAGGATCCAGAATATTGTATGTCTATGTAAGATATGACGGAGGAAAGGAACGGGAGATCAAAACTCTAAAAATAATTGAATATTCGAATGTCGCCAACTTATGGCATAGAAAAGAATTAAATCCAGATTTTAGAATGTGAAATGTTTTTTAGTTCTATGAAGTTGACTTACTTTTTGTCGAAAGTTATTTTTTACCTATTTGAGCGAACTATTACAATTACAAGGCCATATAAATAGTAACATTAGAAAATTGATCCCCATTTTGTCTATCTTAGGGAGGGGGGAATATTATTTCCAATTAAATTTACACGAGACAACCTCTACAGTATAATGTATTTAATAAAAAAAAAAAACTCAAAATCGGTTCAAAATTGACGAAAATATCGCGTAACATACAACTTATAGTCGAATTGTAAACCGTCTGCTAAAAAAGGCTATGAGGGTTAAATATGATGTTGCATGGGTAGAATAACTTGATCTTGATGTTTATTAGAATTTCCAAAAAATATTGAAAAACCTTGTGCTATTATTTTCTAAGTTTATTTTGCCCAGACACAAGATAGAAAGAAATAATAAGTATAAACAAGCAAATCTATGGTAATTAATAAGCATAGAGAGTGTCTTAAAATAAGAACAAAATTCTTACAGCTGAACTCTTATACATATGACGTTTAACATGGTATAAAATAAGATAGCTCTATTATGCTCACATTCTTTCTTTAACAAAGTTGTTTTTACATTCCATAGACACCTTTATTGATGTGCCTTTAGCAAAACAAAAAAAAAAACGTTGCCTTAAAATTAATTTAGTCTATGGCTTAGTAAAATGAAGGATTTTTGTTAATTCGCTTCGTAATACTTATTTATAGCAATTAACATTTATGGATGCTTCATCTGACATCTTATTACAAAACATAGTCGAATAATGTGGAATTTCGCACTATTGTTGTATAATTTAAAACGTATTGTAAAAAGGTCATTTTAAAATCTACTGAAATTTAGCCGGTATAATTTCGCAGCCTTCGGAAACCCCTACTCTAAGTTTTTCGTCACTGTCTTTAAGTACCCCATCCAATTGCTTCTGGGCATATTATTGTCTTCAGTCTTCACATCCTGCAAGCCATCTAGCTTTACAAGTTTCATTGCAGCATTGAAATATGAATACTCTCTGCGCTACAGTGTTCAGTACGGCTCTGAGTCTTACTGCTCGCCTCTGCATAACGGCGCTCTCGCAAATTACTCGCCTTTTACGGGACTAACCATAGACTACTAGGCAAACACTGGTGCACTTGCACATTCGTCGAAAATTAGACTGCACCATCGGATGTCGTCGCGCCACAAGCGAAAAGCACCGAAGTCAAAATGGCGCTCTCAAAATTCCGAAGCTATCGCGCTATATATAGAACAGCTCCGAAATAACACACAAAACGTTGGCCGCTCGCCGGGCTGAACACCATGCTCGGCCTTATTATGGGTTTCGTAGGTAATAATAAGTGTGTTTGTTAATAAACACTGGGTTTGTTTCACGGAATGGGCACTGCGACGATGCTAGATCTGCAAAGCTAATCAATTACGATCGTGTTACCCGTTTTCCTCTCTCCTCCCTCAAGATATTATCCATTATTTATTCAATAATTATAGCTCATATAGTCCACTGCTAAACAAAGGGGGAATATTAGCCATAGTTTCCTCTCTTAACAAGTGGTTTGATAACCGCAATTTTTTATTATTTTGAGTTGTTATCCGGTAGAAACTGTTACTTATCTACGGTGTGGTATGTGGCCTTAGAGCTTCTAAAATATAATACGATACATTTCCGTCCAAACTGATAAAGCTTTCCGCTAAGCAAATAGTAAATCTATATACCTCAATAAAAATCAATTGCTGCTTGAATGTAAGAACATTACTTAAGAACAGCTGGTCCGATTTTGATGAACACTCACACTCACAGTTGGCCCTCACAAGTGATCGGTAGTCGTCATATAAAATTGGGACTACGAATGGTATATAACTAGCTTATGCGCCTCGTGTCTGTCATAACTTAGTATTCACATCTCCCTAACTATTAATTTTTAAAATTTGCGTAACGAATATTTGCAATGTAATATAATAATCATCACCAATTGATTTAGAAAACAATTTACTTGGCCGTTCGAATAAGTCTAGTCCTATTTTCTTTGTATTTTTAGTCAAATACTAAAGTAATAAACATAAATAACTTAACAAAAACGAGTATATCGATGTCGATTGTTGTAATATTGCGAACGTAATCACTATCAATTACAAGCGTCATGTCTTGTAAAGTAACGTCACATATAATACTACTACAATAGGGATCATCATCATCATTATAGCCCTTTACAAGACCACTGCTAAACATATGAGGGAGGCATGTGTTTAGCAGTTTAGCAGTTACCAAGTAATGCCATAAAGCACAATCCTGAACCACCTGCATCCATCGACTTCCTGCATGTCTTACCAGGTCATCACCCTATCTAGTGGGGGTCGCCCTACACTACACCTGCTGGTACGAGGCTGCCACTCGAGTACCGTTTTTGCCCATCGGTTATCGGTTCTTCGAGTTATATGGCCGACCCATTGCTACTTCAGTTTACTAATCCGTTGTGCTCTGTCTAGCTGAGCAAACTTGGGCGTCTTCATACGTCCACCAGTGAAGAACCACGTCTCAGATCCGTAAATCGTCACTGGCAATACGAATTGGTTGTACAATTTAGTTTTCAGATTTTGAGGTATATCTGACTAGACGATGTGTCGTAATTTCCCTAACGCTGCCCAGCCGAGTTTAATCCGTCGAGTGACCTCTCGGCCGAAGTTGGACTTACCTAGTCGGAATATTTGTCCCAGATACACGCACTCGTCAACAACTTCAAGCATAGTGCTCCCAACAACTACCAGCATGACCGGTGTGACATGGACATTAAACTTGATCTTTGTTTTTTCCATGTTGATTTTAAGACCTATCCGTTGGGACACCATTGAGGTCATTGAGCATAGTGCTTAGATCCTCCAGCGATTCTACCATGAGGACTATATCGTCGGCAAATTGAAGGTGAGTGACGTACTCGCCATTGATTTTAATACAGTATCCTTTCCAGTCCAGTAGCTTGTAAACGTCTTCCAATGCAGCAGTGAAGAGTTTTCGGGATATAAAGTCACCCTGTGTTACACCTCTCTGCAATTGGATGGGTTTCGAATTCCTGTTCTCTACTCGGATAGCCATCGTAGCTCTACTGTACAAACACTTCAGCACTTCGATATACCGACGGTCAATTTGGAACCGCTGAAGGGACTGTAGCACCGCGCAAATTTTAACGGAATCAAAGGCTTTCTCATAGTCCACATACGCCAGGCAAAGTGGCAGATTGTACTCTTCGGTCTTCTGTACAATCTGCCGCAGGGTATGTATGTAGTTTATGGTACTGAAGCCTTTTCGGAAACCGGCTAGCTCAGGAGGCTGGAAGTCGTCGAGTCTGCGTGTGAGAAGATTCGTAATGACTCTCGAATACAGCACGTAGACGCGGCTCAGAAGGGAAATCGATCTGTAGTTCTTCAAAAGAGCGTTCGGGGGTATATTGCCATAGTTACCGCGCTTGGCGGGCGGGTTGGCAATCGCAGTTTTTTTGTACAGTTGCTGTTATCAGAAAGATGCTGCTGTCAATCTCCAGCCTGTTTTCCTCTATCATCTTTTACGACAACCACGGGAAGATATGTGGTAGTGCATATTCTTGACCGCCACTACACGGCAATAGGGATAAAATAGGGTTTTTCTACTAAATTAGAAGATACGAGTGTACTTACTCTTATATTTGGCATTGTATAAAGAGACTAAGATGACTTGATATTTCTATTTCCAGCATGAAATATACGCAACATCTTTCAATAGATTTATCTTTTATTGCATTATTTGAAAATTGAATTAAAAAGCGAGTCAAATATATTGACTCAATTTGTGTAGAAATATAAGTTCTCTCTATGCATACGTATGGATGTAATTACTCTAAGAAGCAAATATTCTAAGACAAAAGTCACTTAAATCATTAAATCTGTTGCTTTAAAAGAAGTTTGGTTATTTTTACATAGTTATTATAGAACGTACTCAGGTTTAAATATAACGAGAGCATCAAGATCCTGAAACCAAACATGCAGTGCCGGTGCTGCTACACTAAACAGCAGTAAAAGAGCTATAACCGTAGATCTTCCTTTTGTTTTAGTAGCTATGTACACAATGGATCCCAGAAAGAAAAGCTGCATATCAGCGGCTAGGTGCCTGAAATACAACAAAAAGTAAAATAAACACAGGTACATATAGAGTTATTACTAAATTAAATTTTGGCGTAATTTTAAGTAGATTTTATTATCGATGCTATTGTTTCGCACCCAAGGCTCTACCTTGGAGAAGATTCCGGTGCGTAATTTCCATATGACTTTTTAAAATTCAAATATACTCAAAAATAATTCAATTAAATTTGTGATAATTTGGACTGCGTTTAAATTTTAGCAAGACAGAAGCCATGATGAATCTTAATTAAAATTATACTAAAATTATCGATGGCAGTATTTCCAATGTTGTATGTCTTCTTCGATCATACAGAAGAATGTTTTAATTGAATTACGAGGGAATGATTTCGAGAAAATCCATGTGAAAGAATTTAATAAGCCTGGGTAATCTGAAGATTCCGAAGCGGTATAAGCTTAAGTACAAACATTAAGCTTAAGTAAGAACATAGCTGTATTGGAATGTAAAGTCAGATTAAAAGAAAAACTTTACTTAGAATAGAAAATAAATTCCTCCATACATCGGTTGACATCGTGGTCAATGCTCAAACTGCAGATGTAAGATTGAATTAACTAGTTTCAAATTTTTACCTTTAGTTGTACTATGAGACCTTTTCCTTGCCAAATATTATCATTATAGGTTAGCGCGTATCAAAGTGTGTGACAAAAATGTCTGTAGACCGTAATATTTGATAAAAAGTTCAACTTGTTATCTCTACTCGTTCCTAAGAAGAAGAGTCTTGACATATGGTTAGAAAGACAAAAGGACACGCTATAAGGATTCATTTTTTTTTGGTACGGGACCCTAAAAATCTAAATCTCTTACGAGATATTATCAGTCGATTGTAAAAATGAATTTGTCATTATTAATGTATCATGTAAGCTAATAAATTATATTGCCTTTATAAAGTTGTTGAACGGAAAAAGAAAGAAAGAACGGATAAGAATGATAGAAGGATATCTGATAATTTCCAGGCTAACATAAAAATGTTCTGGAAACTCGTAGGGGAAATACAAAACAGCTTATAATTAATGCTAATAAGAGAAGAGAATGGATGTATTCTGAATGATAAAGCTTCGAATTTAAACAGATGGAAGGAATACTTTGAAAGCGTGTTTATGAGTGAAGAGTCGTCTGAATTAAATGAAGAAGAAATTCCGAAAGAAGTGGAAAGGGGTATGGAGATAAGTGTAGATGAAATAATGAAAGCAATGAAAAGCATGAAAGCAGGTAAGGCAGCTGGATATGATAGAGTATCACTCGAGATGCTACGGGCTGGAGAGAGAGAGAGTGGTGGCAGGCCTGCTGTACACCTTGTTTAATTTATGTTGGGAATTAAAACGGGTACCAGATGACTGGTGTAAAGCAATTATAGTACCAATATACAAGGGAAAAGGGTCACAGCAGGACTGCTTAAACTACCGTGGAATCAGCTTGCTTAGTATTGTGGGTAAACTGTATGCTAAGGTGTTAATTGAAAGAGTTATGAAAGAAACTGATGGAAAAATTTGGGATGTGCAAGCGGGTTTTAGAAAGGGAATGGGGTGTACAGATCAAGTCTTTTCCATGCGCATGATTGCGGAGAAGTTTTTGGCCAAAAACCAGAAAGTTTTTTGTGCGTTCATGGACTTGGAAAAGGCTTATGACAGAGTGGACAGGAATGTGTTATGGCAAACACTGAACTCATATGGGTTGAGCGCTGGTTTGATACAGGCATTAAGGTCTCTTTATAGGGACTCTAGTGCTTGTGTCAGGATCAATGGGGTCTACTCGGACTGGTATGGCATCCAAAAAGGTGTTAGACAGGGCTATGTAACTTCCCCTTGGCTGTTAAACCTATTTATGGACAGGTGTTTGCAAACTTTGAAAGATGAAGAATGTGGGTTAAGAATGGGCGAGTTAACCGTCAAATGCCTTTTGTATGCCGATGATCAAGTCATATTTGCGTCATCGGTGGCTGAGTTGCAAATGATGGTTACATTAATGAACTGGGAATTAAAAGAAAGGGGAAATGAAAGTGAACACAAGTAAGACGAAAGTGATGGTTTTTGAAAGAGAGAAGGTATGTGAAATAAGAATAGAAGGAGAGTTAATTGAGCAAGTGGATGAGTTTGTGTATTTGGGATGTGTATTTAGCAGGGATGGTAGATATGATAGGGATATAGAACGACGAGTAAATGCAGGGAATAGAGTGAATGGGGCACTACACTCCATTGTGAAGAACCAGAATGTGTCAAAAAAGGCACGTATGGTAATTCATAATGCTGTGTTAGTCCCTACTTTAATGTATGGTAGTGAAAGCTGGGTGTGGCAGAAGAAGCACGAAAGTAGAATAAATGCTGTAGAAATGCGGTCTTTAAGGAGTATGCTAGGGTTGAATCTGAATGACAGGGTGAGAAATTGCGTGATAAGAGATAAATGTGGTATGCAAGATGATGTTGTGACCGTAACTACACGTAACGACCGAAAATTGGCGATATTTTGAAAAGGGGCCACGTTAGAAGTACCCTTAACCGACGAGCATGTATGCGTAAATATATGGATGTAAAGGAGGCGAAAGAGGTATGTCAGGATCGTGCCAAATGGAAGTCCGTAGTCTCTGCCTACCCCTCTGGGTGACAGGCGTGAGTGTTTATGTTATGTATTTATGTATGTCTTTATAAAAACATCTCTATGTATTGGTATAAATTAATTCATTTGCTAGAGTCATGGACATCACTCAGCAGAATGGGTACAGCAAGTAAGTCATATGGAGTTGTTTTTATAAGGTAGTACAGTAAAGAATAAATGTCTTTTTACATATAAATAAATGCGACAATTACCATGTGTGTACAGCGCAAGCCTTGTCTTCTGGAAAATAATTATTGATGTAGAAAATATGCGCCCACCAGTATTGTCTACAACCTGATACTACACTCGTAACATAAAGTTTCCATAGTGGACCGGATCCTAGGTATCGGAGCCAAGTGGCTGTGAATAAAATTATCAAAGAATTCGCTGGCGTCAATCTGTAAAATATTTAAAGTATTAGAGAAAAATTACAATAAATCTTGAATATTTATTTTGATTTGAAGAAAAGAATTGAAAAAAAAAATTGGGTCTATGGAAATATGTAGTGTGTTGGCGTAGTAGTTGAATACATTGCCCCATTTAGTCCCGTAGGTGTAGTAAGAGGCGATTATTCGAAATACCAGAAAGTTGTCATGGGTATCGAAAGCCGCGGCAGTATAACCATGTATATAACGAGCATGTATGCGTAGGTTGAGGTGTGAGTAGTAGTAAGAGAACAAGTGTGGCGAATTTACTAAAATAGGGGAGACTCACGATCGTTAATATACTTTTACGGTATGATGGTGACGATGAAGAAGAGGTAGACCTTACCTTAATGACGAAATATAATTGAACAAATTTGTATCAAGCAAAAGATATAGAAATTTTAACATACCTCCACAATCTGTTAAGAAATATATTAGGCAGCAATGACCACTTTATTGGTACAATTTCCGATAAAATTTCCAGATTGTAGACCATGAGAAAGCCAGACATCACGAAAAATATCTGCACTATCATCAGACCATTAAATATCAGTTGATAGTGAGTACTTTCAGAGGCCTGTGACAAAAATAAGTGAAAATTATTTAATTTAATGCTATATGTACATCGTAATTACATTTTAATTTTTTTTGAAAACGAATTAGTGAGATCACAAATTAAATTATCATTCTTTAAAAAATATCGGCATTGAATTCTTACGCTTTATAATTACGTCCAGTATTTATCCACACATCGTGCAGAATTATGTTTGTATTATCGATAACATAATGAGAAACAGGGACCGTATAGAGGTGGTGTAAAATATCTACTACCTCATATCGTACCGTGGGTATCGCAACAGGTGGCAAAGCGTAAGTAAAACAGAAAATAAGCAGCAGCATCTTGCTGATAATTGTTTGTGTAAAAACAAAACTCAAAATGTTAAAAAGACTGCGGTTGCCAACCAGTTTGCCCCAGCAACTATGGCAAAATCCTTCCTATAAAACGATCTATGGGATTGGCTTATGTTTATCAGTGGACCTTTATAGGTTGTTATGGAATGAGAAAGTTGCAGTTTAACTTTAATGACTGCATCGTTGGTGATTCACTGCAGCCATGCTGATATTTCTCGGGAATACGTCTAAGTGAAATACTAATATTTTGTTGTTTTATATCTGACGATTATTTCGTCGTTTGTGGGTATGGTATTTTCTAACAGTAATAGTATATACAGTAACAGTAATAGTAAAATAATAGTACGTATAGTATATATAGTATTTGATAACAGTGAAATTTACTGAGGTTGAACCTTAGTCAATTTTTATGGCTGCTTAGTGAAAAAAATTACGCGTGTACAATATCCAAACTAGCGACGGGGTGCAATGTGCAAGACGTCTGGTACTGTGATTAACAATATTATTTATTATGTGTTGGCAAATCTTCTCTTCACTTTAAAAGGTCGATGTTCAGTAGAGAGATTGATGGAGAATGTAATGAAAATGTGATAAATAAATTATGAAAATATCATTTTTGGTTGGATTTACGCTTTTCAATAGATCGTTTTGTCACATTATTTAAGGTGAAGTGGGCGCCAAAAGCAGATTTTTCATGTTTTATAGGTGCGACTGGCGGCTTTTTGGTCGGCCCACGCGATATTAATCGCACAATATTTATTTGATATTTCTTTTTAACCTGTATCGCAACGTAAAATGGCGGGAATTGCAAATTTTTTGCTAACTTGCTAAATTTGCTATATTTTCACTTTGAGACAATATTTATGGATAAAACTTACAGGAATTCTTATTGAATGTATAAAACTATCAAATAAAAATTATTTTTAGTTGATAGAAATAAAAATGTAATAAAATTCATAAATTACCCTTCATAGCATAGTAGTAGTAGATACTTAAAATATAAAATAAAGAAAAACGAAATTAATTTTTATCTGTATGAGATTTCGAACAATATTTCAAATATATTTTTGTATGAATTTGAAATAAATACAACGTCAAGTTATTTGAAATATGTTATAAAACTATTTTTTACTTACATTTTACAATAAAAATAAATGACAATTGGAAAAATAACACATTTTTGACCCACCCGCTAAAATGGGCCTTCTCGATTTCGAAGTACTTTTGGCACTTACTTTTCACTTTTTATGCCACAAATTATATATCTACGTGTTTTATTACAAGGAATACACCAAAGTATAAAACTCACCTTTTTATTTCAAAAACACAGAAAAACGGATAAATCACTCACACTCAATAGTTCACGCACAACCACGCCCTACTGGTGTAAGAAGCCATTACGTCAGAACGATTTTTATGTTTATTTTTAGTTCGAAATTGACAGATTATGGTACCAAATTAAAGAGTATGTCTTTGTCTATGTCTGTATTATACATTTCAGTATAACTTTGTTATAATTTTTAATGACAAACCTTTTTTTGTCGGGTTCACCCTCATAAATTATTAGTAAACATATGTGTACCATTGCCGAGCGGGCGGTGGGTGTTGTGTTAGTCACATGTGTACCACTGCCGAGCGTACGGCAATTAAAATTATATTTACTTTTTTATTGAAAAATATACCCATAATTCACTCACGTATTTACTGGTGAACACAGCCTGAATTTAATTAAAGTGTGAAAATATCTAGAACTAACTAAAGAAAAAGCTGTTTCATTCGAATGTAATGAAATTATAAATATTCGAATGAAATAGCTTTTTCACATAGTGGACGTACCTAAAATTGTAGATTTTGAGGAAACTTTGCGATCTTTTTCTATCGAGCCAAAATGTGTCAATCTTGTTTTGGCCAACATAATTCACTAAGAAAAATCTTTAACTTTCATAATGAATTATAAAAAATGTGGATTCGTAGTCCTAATGACAAAAAATTGCTTTTCTGCGCACATATAAAGCGTAAAAATTCTGCTTTTGGCGCCCATATGACCTTAATATTTAAAATGATTGTCTGCATATGTTTGTAGGCCCAGAAGTTTCCTTCAAACTTGGCAAAATTCTCTGTACAGTCTTGTGTAGTATATTGTATTAACCTAATTTATAACTAATTTTATTAGGTGTATATTTCGTTTAGCTAATTTCATCAAAAGCTCACCTTTTCAATATCTTGCGGATTATCAGTGAAGCCGGTTCCGATAAGCCACATCACATGTGCTAATGGTATTAAGAAGCTTGTTAGAACCCTGGAAAAGTTGATTAGATTTAACTGTTCCTTTTTTGTATAATTATACATTTCAAAGTAAGGGTTACTACAGACACTAATACACGCCTCTCCTATAGGTCTATTTTTATTACGAGCTAACTCCTCTAATACTGTCTACTGCTTTAGTATAATTTAAGACAATGGTATGCATTGGACGGTTCGAGTCAAACGCATTTATTGTACATTTATTTGTTAGTTAGTTATTTGTATAGCAAGCCAAGCAAGTGCGTTCACTGATCCGCAGAGGACGGTAATGCCGACGCAATCACTCGCTGGGGCAACGGTGGCCGGAGACGTTATATGGATTGTCTAACAGTGGACGGCCGCATCATCTACTTTTGCATTTCAGTAAATGTTCAAAATGGCGTAAAATATAGGTATAGGGAATTAAAGGAAATTTTTTACATCGTCCTTCAGAAAATCACAAAACAGCATAGAATGATATTCTCCATGTTGTGCTCTTTTTAATGTATTCGTATGTAATTTTTTCTTTTTTCTTTCTCTTTTTAATTATATCCTCTTTTCTTATGCCAACAAACAAGTAATTATGACTGTTATGATACATAACTATTCAGTTTAAATTCATCCGCTCGCTACAAAAAACTGAATGATATTGTTAGAAAATAATTTCTTAAAATTCGTGCATGTGGTTGCATAACTTTAATTGAAGACACATTTCATAGGACAAAGCCTATTTGATTATATATTATATTATTATACAAAAAAGTTACAGCCTATATACGTCCCACTGCTGGGCACAGGCCTCCCCTCATTTCTAAGAGGATTTTAGGGCAAGGAAATGTTCGCCGCGCTGCCCCAATACGTGTTGGCGAACTTCACATGTCTTCGAAATATTTTTTTCTTATTCCTCAGACATGCAGGTTTCCTCACGATGTTTTACTTCACCATTGAGCACGTGGTAAATCAGCATTTAAAATTGCAATTAACATTTTAATTGGTGCCGGCGGGGATCGAACCCGGGTTACTCGCGTTCTGTTATATTTACAGCGAGCGTTAACCATCTGAGCTACCACGGCTCTCTATTATTATATATAAAAGTTTAATTCAAGAGATAAAAAGCGAGTTTAATTTCAGGCTGTTGGGCATTCTCCTTTTATCCTTACGAGTGCCAAAGCACAAGTAGACTTTTGCTTTTGAACTTGGTTGCAGCGACCACGTCTTGCAGAGGCCATATATCATTAAGTCACTTGACACCCTAATACAATTATAAAAAGTACTCGTTTTCAACACTCCTTTTTTTAGGTAAGACAATCGTTAGAGTCGATTGAGTTTAACGATCTGTTGATTCTGTCTTTTACGATCAGTTCGGCAACGGACTCTTTAATAGCATATATTCAAATATGCGCAAGTCATCACGTCTATGCAATTCTATGCGATAGCTCTAATGGTGCAATATGCATACTCCGAAAGTAATTGTGTTCTGTACACCACTAAATTGTTTTCTTTGTTTTGGAACAAAAATAATAAAATAATTTCCACGTAATAAATAGCTTATGAGGTCGGTGCTAGTATATAGTGCATAGAAGAATGAAAGCCCCGACATCGGAAGATAATATGTGGCAATTGTTTTATTCTTTTAGTAAATTGAACCAGGTTTAATTTTTTACCCTTTTTTTTGAGTTGACTAAGGAATATCACAAGGTCAAGGTAACAAACTAGAATGGGGTAAGTAATACATGTTCGAAATGAAAAATATGTATTATATCAAATGGGTATCAAATGGTACTTTTATTGTTTTATAATGGAAACATTATTCATTAACAAATTCATTTGTTGGCTGCGATCGTACCTCGGTTGCTCGCGTTTACGGTGCCACGCTAAGCCCTTCAGCTACCACGGTTCTCATATATATATATATATATATATATATATATATATATATAATATAAAAAAAAAATATTTTTTCAATTCGTTTTATTATAACGTTACCTCCACACTAAGAATTTTTCGTTAGTATATAGTGGGGACAGTTAACATAAGTACATTAATTACATAAAGACAAACATCCAGACCCGGAACAGTTATTTGTATTTGCAGGTTATAAAATTATTGTTTCGGATGGAATTAGAAACCGCGGTCCTCACCGCTGTAACTTATTGCTAAGTCCCGCCACTACGGAGTCGCCAAATATATCTTTTACAGTGATAGATATTATGATTATGAGTAGCTTACTATCAAATAAACGTATAAAATTACTAATTTAATTATAGTATTTAACCAAGTATCTTTGATGATGCCGGGTTGCGCTTTCATTCGTCAATGCTTTTGGCGTGCATCAATAGCGAGCGCGCGTGGTGGTGGTGGGATAAAGTAATACGTCTTACCATTGGGAGGATCCGGAACGCATTGATCAGCCGGCATCGGTGCGCGCTGGTTTATAGTATTTTTAAAATATTCACATTACAATAATTGACTAAATAAAATGAGCCGATTTTTTAAAATATATTTAACATTACCTGTATTTTGATAAAATAATTTTTAATAGATAAGTTTATATTCAATAGACAACAAAGTTGACAATTAAGTGAACAGTTTCAGGGATTTTATAGTATTATTTTTTTATTATTATACCGACATATTTTCGTAATTTAGGCTCTGTGTTCCACTTAAAGATTATATATTCAGTTATATTTAGGTTTAAAGTAACTATACTAGATCTGAAAGGTAACTCTAACGCATATTTTCGTGAAACGATATACAGGGATTGTCTTCGCTCTAAAAAACCGTCATTAAAAATTATAAATTTGTCTCTGTAGTGCACTAAATAATGGCTTCATCTTTCAAAAACCGTAATTTTCTGCTCACATCGTTACGATGTCGCCGTTGAAAAAACCCTAAAGCATGAAGTTTTCGACGCAAATCGCTTACGCCCTCTTAAGGAAAAAATAATAGCCATTTCTAGGATAATGTACTCATAAATTACAAGGAGCACTATTCCTTTTAAAACATTTTGCTATATAATTATTGATTCTTCCCGAAGCCCTATGGGATTATGTCGGGTAACCAGAAAATAAACTTAAAATAATCTCTATTTATAATCCAATCTCTATAATGCAATTAATAAAATAATAAGTTTTTAATGGTTATTATTGGAATATCGGATATTTTTTCCTTAAGAGTGCGTAAACGATTCGCGTCGAAAACTTCAAGTTTTAGAGTTTTTTCAACGGCAACATCGTAACGATGTGAGCAAATTATTTACAGAAAGTTACGGTTCTTGAAAGATGAAATTTTTATTTATAGTTCATAAAAGATCTTTGACTAGAGAAAAAAGAAAGGACATGACATAAAGATCGTTAGTTGTAGGAACGTCACGAAATATCGGAGTCTCTTTTTAGCTTATGAGTATATTCGTATGTAAAAAAGGACAACAGTAGTTTTATCATTACCGAATATGGCAGCAATTTTTTCGCTGCGGCCGGGCGCCATGTTTTGTCACAGTCAATGACAACTATATCAGTTGTCATTGAGACTTTAGTAAGGGAGTGTGTTATTTTTATATGTTTCTCTCGTGAAATTCGATTATTACGAATTTTCTTATTCTATTCCTCGGGACCTCTAAATCGGGATAAAATGTATCCTATATGTTAATTCAGGTAATAAACTATTTGCGTGCCAAATTATTATATTCAAACTGGTCTGATACTTTTGGCGTGATCGAGGAATAAACAAACATTCAAACTTTTGCATTTATTATAATTTAATTAGTGTGAGTATTATGGCTGAATCTAATTTATTTATTTCTTCAATTAGTATTTCTTGTTTAGTAATTCCCGTAAAATAATTGTAACATTAATAATAGATAGATACATTATAAAAACAAAAAAAAAACGACTGTTTAAAAGTAATGAACTGAAAACATAGGTATAACTCATATATACTTCAGTAATCTCCTTTTAATTTCCTTTCTTTGGATATTCGATATTCGATATCTATAGATCGATTCTATAGATATTCGATAGCTTGAGTAAAGAAAGTTAAGGACTTACAATTTGGCGACAAAAATCAGTCATATTGATTTAAAAAAAACTATCTAAGAACACACGGCTGTTTGAGACGAATCACACGAAATAATCTTTTTCTGAAGAAGAGCCACATTGTCGTTATTAAGTATAGTGCGCAGCACTACGTCAAGCCGCCATCTTTGTGCCAGACTCAGTTTAGGTATACACGTTTTTTTCGTAGATATGTCATGTCCTTTCTTTTTTCTCTAGTCAAAGTAAAAGATAGCTTGATCTCTGCGACAGCTGTCAGTAAAAATCACGCCTATGAAGTCCTGAATTTCTATAACAAAACAAAAATATGGCATGCACTAACTAGGTCGGCATGTCCATAAAGTATGACATTGACATGTACTGTGTGTACTACTAAGAAATTCAGGACTTCATAGGCGTGATTTTTACTGACAGCTGTCGCAGAGATCAAGCTATTTTTTATGAACCATAGTGCACTACAGAGACAAAACCATAATTTCTAATGACGGTTTTTCAGAGCGAAGACAATCCCTGTATATCGATTAACAAAAATATGCGTTAGAGTTACCGCTCAGGTACAGTACAACCATTATTATAGGCTGTAACGCTTTACTTTAAACCTTATTATAACTGAATATATAGTCTTGAAGTGCAATACAGAACCTAAATTACGAAAATATTTCGATTTTGGTGGAGCGACGAGCCTAAGGTTACCGAAGTCCAATTCCCCGGTCGAGCCTTAAGCCTATTACGCGAGATGTCAAACCCAAATGGACTGTATATGCGAAATGCTTCTTCGTTTACACAAAACGGCGACTATAGCACGCGGTTTTCCATACAATGCACTCGCTCTTCCCTAAAACGAACTATTGCTTGCCAAAATCTATGAAAGGAATCCTGCTTGATTAGGAGAAAATGAAATTGGAGCGGATTAACTATTAAACACAATTATATCAAGCAGGAACTAGTAATGAATGCTCACTCA